AAAATGTCATGCGCATCTATGATTGGTGGAAAATGCTCATGAATATTCATGATTAGTGGAATTTACTCATGAATATTCATGAATGACCAATAACAGGTATGCAAATAAGATACTAAATAAAATATTGTACTTGCTCTAATAGAAACACATTGTTGTATGCAAATTCAGTGTTACAATGCAGTGGCCGCCAAACTATGGTGCATCAATTTTTATGTATTTTTCTACAATATCTTTTATTTTAGCTGGAATTAATTCACTGAAAAGACTTTTATGCAATGTTCAAGTTTATATACCTCATTTGCATACACCATATTTGAGCCCATTCAACGTGCATTTACCTCATTTACATATACCATATTTGAATACAGTGTATTTGAATCGTTTGCATACACATTTACGCAAAAATGAACAATGTTTTGACCTTATTTGCACACTGTTTATGCTAATTTGAACACAATTTATTAACCTCATTTGCATACACTAATATTCAAGTGTATTTGAATACAATGTATTCACCTAATTTGAATAAACCATATTTATATTAATTTGTACACAATGTTTTTACCATATTTGCATACACTATGTTTAACCTTATTTGAATACAATGAATTTACCTCATTTGTATTCACCATGTTCTACTACATCTACCAGCTCACTCAAATAAAAAAAATGACACCATACAACAAGATACCTATACATGTTCCTGGGCACAGGTAACAAATAAAATTCAGCTTCCCTGACAAAATAGTGATAGCAAAATAATTACATGCATGTAAATAGGGCGGTGTAACTAGCCCTTGTTTTTCAAACCCTAAAAATACTCCACTCCTCTTAAAATATTTGCACCACTAATACAGCATTAAAAATTATTCAACTATTTTCAACCAAAACTTATAGTTGCTTTCTTATTCAGCAATGAATGCAATAAAACTATTTATTATTTTACATTTATCACAAAATGTTGAAAAACACTACATGTAAAAACTACTATTTTTAGCAAGGCGAAAAAACTACTGAATTACAAAAAAATACAGGACACTGTTTACAAGGTAGTTGTGATATTTGTTCAACATAAAATCTCTAAATGCAGTGATATATTTCCAACAATATTTGAACGCTATCATTTTTCCCGCCAAAATTTTGGCACAACATTTTTTTTTATGTATTTTACAAATGATCAATTAATTTTAGACCAAATGGACTTAGTTTGTCAATCGTTACAGAAGTTGAATTTTTTTTTAAAAAAATGAAAAAAATTATGCAGATTTGTGAAACGTGACTTTGGCATTCAGTTGTCAACTACACAAAGAATATAAATACAACATGAAGCAATGAATATTCTTTAATGATAAAATTACAAAAAGTTATGAATATTCATGATTTATAAACTCATACATATTCATGATACAATTCATAAATATTCATGAGCAGATTTATAAACTCATACATATTCATGAATGATTCATGAATATTCATGAGCAGATTTATAACCTTATACGTATTCATGATACAATTCATGAATATTCATCACAACTATTTGTAAAGGTCAAATAGTTAAGAATGCAGTTTGACTATAAACTGAATACTACTATAATCATGAAGCGATATTTTTATGAATTTTCTAAAGTTTCATTGTTAATTTGGAACCAAATGAACATAATTTGCTGCAGCTTTTAATGAAAATTTGTGGACAAAAATTGAAAAATTTCATGCAGGTTAGTTTTGTTAAAAGTGACAAAATTTACTTTTTAAACGTTATACAACAAAACTTGCAGACATTTTTTATGGGATGTTTTCAGTCATGGTTATTTAATTTGTTAGATTTCAAAGAAATTTTGATTAAAAAAAAATGTACGAGTTTCACACTGGCAATGAAGACTTAATAATAAATAAATTAATTAATACAAAATAAGATTAACTCCCTCAAACAAAAGACACAACAGTACACAAAGCGTAAAACACACAAATTAACTTTTTGAACGCCACAAATTTACCCGCCAACAATTTGTCTGTAACAATTTTGCATAAATTTCAATAACTTTGTCGATAATTTTGGATGTATCAACACAAAAACTTACAGATCAGATCAATGTCTCAAAAAATAAATTGAAAAAAAAAAAAGAAAAGTAAAAACAATTTAATGGCAAATTAATGGCTGGCAAATTTCCGGCCCAATGTTTATTATCTTGTTGAAAACAGTGTGATTTTTTGCCAACAATGCAAACTGCAGATTGACTGTGTCACCATGACCACCAAAATGAATATTTATTGAAACTCATTGCAAGGCGGCATAAACTTCGCAAATTCAAAGTATTGATCTTGCCGACAAGACATACACTATTCTGTCAGACGTTAGTGGGGTCTGATGCCGTTCAGCTGGCGAGGGCGCTACACACACCTACATATCAGCCTATAAAAGAGTCAATACCATATTTTGCTTGAGAGAGTCCATTATGCTGCAGGCAGGGTTGTTCTTGCAAAAGCACACGTTATATTTCAGGATGTTTTGTGTGTTTACAGTTTAGGTGGTTCATTACATTTACGAAAACAAAATCAGAAATTACTGACTATTTGGGTAAAGTTACTTTAATGTTTAAATTCAAAAATATAAGATATATAGTCAGCGAACTAATTTTTCCACAAAAACCACCTTCAAAATTGATAAAAAATGCATGTTTTGAGTAGTTTACAATTGGTTCTAACGACAGAAATATTTCATCATAACTCAAATAATTTTTTTTCAGTAACCTATCCAAAAAATATAATATGTAGTGTTATGAGAGCTATATATGACAGTCATGAAGTTTGAATAATAAAGGGGGATGGTAGTTGTGCAATGCATGTTCTGATTTAACGTAACCAACAATATATTTTACACACGTTGTGTATGTCGCTATGAGTTCCATATCGAACACAACACCGACCATTTAAAGTAGGGTGTCGCCACCTGCGCATGCGTCTGTTGGCCATAGCGTGTCATTGTTTACAAACAAGCGTCTACCCATGAGCCTTTGCGTTTTCAGCATGTGTTGTTATCATCGTTTGGGACTGAAGTCCCGTGCGTGCGCTTTAATAAAAGTCATCAAGGAATATTGTGTTTAACATAGATCCCGATGGAAAATGTTCCAAAATTATTTTGCATGTTTTCTTTTAAACACATACTGTAAAACATGTCTTTTTCGCGAATTTAGCGGCAGAACTGATTCGCTAATTCAAGATATCGCTAATGACTTTATTATCAATTCAAAATGGCCACCATACAAAGAAATCAACAATGACGAGAGATTCGCTAAATCAACATTTCGCTATTACGTCATTTCACCACAATTCGCTAAAATTGCATGCAGCTTTTTCAACATGTTTTACAGTAATTCTTTCTCTGTAAAAAAAAAAAACTTCAAACATGAATGACTTATTCAAATCATTACACAACAGTTTTTGAATAATTTAGTGTGAAATTTTTTTGATAGTAGCAAATTACCTTAACACGAAACCTCAATAAATACAAATTACATTCTTCTTTTAGATAAAACTGCAAAGGACTTGTGTTTTCTAAGTCTCCTATCCTGCATTTTTCTCTGGAAATAGGTTTGCTTTCAATTTTTCCAACCTCAATGTACGCAAATTACATGTATGGCTACTTGGTAAATCAAGCACAGTAATGTATGAATGACAAAAAATTCATTGAAAATAATTTTGTTTCTAGTTCTCTAATACTCAAAAATTATACGTTTGCATTCTTGTGTGAAAAAACTCAATATATGCAAATTACGTGTTTTGTTTTTAGCACTAGACTCATGGTTTCCAACTTTCCCAATATGCAAATGAGATGTTGCATTCTTCTCTGGAAATATTTTACACTGGACACATTGTTTCCAATTTTCCCAACTTCACTATGTGCAAATGATGTGTTGGGTTATCCAAATATAAAATACAGTATGAATTCATAAACTCAACATTTAAAATCGATTTTTCAAATGAAACCGAAAATTGGTGCAGATTTGCGGCTAAAATCTTTTTACAACACTGTAATTTGAAAACTGGTTTCTATCAAAATTCTTGAAGACTCATCAGATTATTAAAGCGGGGGAGTCGTCACCTGCACATGTGTCAGATGGAATTAACATGTCATTGTTTACAAACAAGCATCGTGTTGTTATCGTCGCTTGGGACTCAAATCCCGGGCATGCGTAGGTGGCTTTAATTTAACAAGACTGCTTGGCGGAAGGTTATATGTTAGCAACGACAGTGAAAGGGCATTTGTTCGAAGTTGAAATTGGTAAAAACGAAATACACTTGACGTGTACAGGAAGACATTGTCATCAACACTTTGATTCGGATGATGCGCTTTTTAAAAATGAGCGAGTTTTTACCCACAAACAAATGATAATTTGGCGACATTTGAAAGGAAAATGACATCTTCCTAGCATAAACACACAATAGCATGATTATTTAAAAAAACAAGAATGATTATTCAGCTGATATATAGAAAGTTTACTCTCTAAAAACTTGTATACATAGGGGGAAAACCAAAATTCATTTGACGACCAGCGTCAACTGTTCGCTGGTCCGTACAAGCGACAAAGGCTGATGCAATCTTCATGCAAAATCTACCCCTGCTTGAATAATTTATCGGATAGTCATCAAAGCAACGGTGTGTGATAGTATTGCTCTGATGAGCCAAGTGTAGATCGTTTCATTTGACGTTGCGTGTACGCCAATCCTTGGCGGGTATTACCGGTGGTCAGTGATCATTGCCATCTTGAACAACGTTTGCTGCACAGCAGCCACCTAAACGAGTGATAATAATTGCTGAACCGCAGAATACCACGTCTTACAATCGCAAACCGAAAAGAACCACGTCTTACAATCGCAAACCTGTGAGAAGCACGTCTTACAATCGCAAACCTAAGAGAATCACGTCTTACAATCGCAAACCGAAAAGAACCACGTCTTACAATCGCAAACCGAAAGGAACCACGTCTTACAATCGCAAACTGCAGAACACCACATCTTATTCTTAACCAGGTGTAGGTATGGAAGTGAAGAGAACGAAAGGAAGATCCAACTAGATCCAGAAAGCTGCGTATTCTTGTGAACAGATCATATCTATTTCATGCCACTACGTTAGATTCTTCAAGCATGTTACACTAAGTTTTATAAATCCTTAGAATACACTGTAAACCATTTCATTTTTTGATGCGAGAAATTTTCATGAAAAAGAACACTACTACGTAATTTGCAAAAAATTAGTCTCTCGCAATAATAAATCGGTTTACAGTGCGTGATAGATGAATCCTATATCTTAATTGTAAAATTTTCTGGGAAAACGCCCCTGGCTCCGTCTGACGATCTTGTACCCATCAACCAACCGTCATCCTGTAACAAACAAGGATAGAACATAAATTTATTGTTTCATACATGTAGTTTGATTCATTGTTTCATCAGTTTTCATTTCTGGTTCATTGTTTCAATTTTTGGTTTATTGTTTCATCAGTTCTCATTTCTTGGTTCATTGTATCATCAGTTTTCATTTTCTAGTTCATTGTATCATCAGTTTTCATTTTCTGGTTCATTGTATATCAGTTTTCACTTTTGGTTCATTGTATCATCAGTTATTTTCTGGTTCATTGTATTATACGTTTTCATTTTCTAGTTCATTGTATCGTTAGTTTTCATTTTCTGGTTCATTGTATCATCAGTTTTCATTTTTGGTTTATTGTTTTATCAGTTGTCATTTCTAGTTCATTGTATCATCAGTTTTCATTTTCTGGTTAATTGTATCATTAGTTTTCATTTTTAGTTCATTGTATCATCAGTTATTTTCTGGTTCACTGTATCATAAGTTTTCATTTTCTAGTTCATTGTATCATCAGTTTTCATTTTCTGGTTCATTGTATCATCAGTTTTCATTTTTGGTTCATTGTTTCGTCAGTTTTCATTTTTGGTTCATTGTTTCATCAGTTTTTATTTCTGGTTCATTGTTTCATCAGTTTTCATTTTCTGGTTCATTGTATCATCAGTTTTTATTTTTTGGTTCATTGTATCATCAGTTCTAATTTTTTGATTCATTGTATTATCAATTCTAATTTTCTGGTTCATTGTATCATCAGTTTTCATTTTGTGGTTCATTGTATCATCAGTTCCCATTTTTTGGTTCATTGCATCATCAGTTCTAATTTTTTTAATTCATTGTTTCATCACTTTTCATTTTTTGCTTCATTGTTTTATCAGTTTTCATTTTTTGGTTCATTGCATCATCAGTTCTAATTTTTTTTAATTCATTGTTTCATCACTTTTCATTTTTTGCTTCATTGTTTTATCAGTTTTCATTTTTTGGTTCATTGTATCATCAGTTTTCATTTTGTGGTTCATTGTATCATCAGTTTTCATTTTTTGGTTCATTGTTTCATCAGTTTTTATTTTTTGGTTCATTATTACATTAGTTTTCATTTTTTTAGTTCATTGTTACATTAGTTTTCATTTTTTCAGTGAAAATTAATTCCAAGCGAAAATAAAGTATTTTACAGTACTAGTATTTTACAACCCAAAAACCAGATTAGTTTGGGGTTGAAAATCATTAATATAATTTACCTAAATTTGCATAAATTAGACAATTTTCTAATAACCAGATTTAAATTAGCATTTTTAGAGTTTTCTGTTAGTATTATAAATTGTAAATTATACAAGACTCAAAAAAATTGTTTGTCCTAATGTTTCATTTCATCTGTTCATTGTTTCTCATTGTGTAGCCGGTGGAAGAAACTATTACTGGAATGGGGGAGGCCACTCACCTGATCATCTGGATCATCGAAGGGCACAACAAATATAATTTCTCCTTTTTCAAAACTAAGTTCATCCGTGTCCATACTTTCATATTTATGTGTAGCTCGCACCTGAAGTGAAATAAAAAGTTTGTTACCATGACAATAAAATAACAAGCAGCCTCTCGGCTGAGATAGCTCCGCTGTTAGCAATGCACATTTCAATTAAAGAACAGAAGATATCATTAGAAAATGAACAATATGTATAGTATCAAGCAATGGGACAAAAATATCACTTTTTACAAAAAATTTCAAAAATATTCACCAAAATTAGTGAATTAAAGATATCATTACAAAATGAACAAATCTGAGAGAGGTCCACATGTAGTACCTATAAATGTAATATAAATGCAATCGGACTTGCGGTTTTTAACAAGAAGTCGAAAATATCACTTTTTATCAAAAATTACAAAAATATTCACCAAAATTAGAGAATTAAAGATATCATTACAAAATGAACAAATCTCAGAGGTCCACATGTAGTACCTATATATGTATTATCAAAGCAATTGCACTTGCGGTTTTTAACAAGAAGTCGAAAATATCACTTTTTACCAAAAATGGCAAAAATATTCAACAAAATTAGAGAATTAAAGATATCATTACAAAATGAACAAATCTGAGAGAGGTCTACATGTAGTACCAATATATGTAATATCAAAGCAATTGGACTTGCGGTTTTTAACAAGAAGTCGAAAATATCACTTTTTACCAAAAATGACAAAAATATTCACCAAAATTAGAGAATTGAAGATATCAACATGAAACGAACAAACCTAAGAGAGGTCTACCCAAGGTACTAATACACCAAGTATCAAAGCATTCAGGCTTGTAGTTTTCAAGAAGAAGTCGAAAAAGTAAAACATTGACACGGACGACGGACAGTCACTCATATAAGCTCCGCTCGACAAAGTCGACAGCGGAGCTAAAAACAGGAGTAAACATATAATTAATTGCATTATGGTTTCCATGAGTTATCAAGTTTAAAGCGAGAGGGTCGTCACCTGCGCACATGCGGGAATTGAGTCTCACGCAAAGGCAAAGGCTCATAGGTAGATGCTGGTTTATAAACAATGACATGCTATGGCCATCTGACGCAGCACAGGTGACGACTCCCCCGCGTTAAAGGGTGGTGGAGGTCGCATCGTGTCGTATTTGACATGGGACTCAAAGCAACGTACGCAACACATGTAAAACTCATTTAAACTTGTTCAACTTTAAAAATTTCACCAGTCGGCCATCTTGAATTGCAACATGAAAGAAATAGACACGTATGTATGTATCCCAAGATGCATTGTGTACATGTCAAGTTTTTATTTTTTTTATTTCTTTGTTAGAAGATAATTATATAAATACATGACATTGTACAGAAAATGAAAAGAATACCTACAGGGAAAGGAAGAAAGAATTCACAACTAGTACATATCAAGTTTGTGCATGTGACCCATCCAAAATACGGGTACAAGGTTGAGGTATCTACCAGTAATCACCATATTAATCGTAATTTTCATTGCACTCAAATACTTAAGACCATTCACATGTGTGCATGTATGACTTATTTTATTTGAGGAAGAACTTCAAATATGATTTCAAGATTCTGTTGAACAAGACATCTCGTAAACTGAACAAAAACCGAAATCCTTACAATGCTTAGAGCAGTCAGGGGTCAGTGAGACGTTTTCTGTAGATTGTACATCAGAATCAGATAGTGATAATTAGGTAGTGATAATTTGTCATTTTACAAAGTGAAATCATACCTACCTTGCACCAATAATAAATAATTTGATTGAACTCTTTAATACGATTGGTATAAGGAGAGTACGGTTTAACATAGTAAAATAGTGTAAAATCTGACTCACATAGTGATAATTTGTCATTTTACATAGTGAAATCATAATTATCATGCACCTTGTATTGCCCGACCTTGTAACGCTATTGGAAGTGCGCCCTCACATCCGGGCAATAATTTCTTGTATCCCGCCTGGCCCAGCTTTCATCAATCAAAACAAAGTGCGTCATTCTAAATTGCCTCCCTGTGGTTGCGGTCACACCATGGTAAAATTGTAATTATACCCATAAGGTATATAATAAAACCTCTATGGACTGAATACGGCTATTGGTGCCCTTAGCCATATGGCTTACGCGCGCAAGCTTGGTTTGACATTGTCAAATAGTCTAAAATCTGACTATTGGGAATGCGAATTCAAATAACAGAATACATGTACAAAAATATAGCTCAAAACTGATGGTCATTAAAACTAGTTCCTCCTACCTTATATAGTACACCCGGTGGTAAATATTCCTCTGTTGTTGTTATTGTTGATGTAGTTGTTGTTGTTGTTGTTGTCGGTGGGACTGTTATTGTTGTTGTTGCTGGGTCAATTTGAAAATCAGATGATGCAGTATGGTAGGCTGGAGAGGGTAACTTGGAGATGGATACAAAAGTCAGTAGATGAATTACAACACTAGAAGGCACTTAGTACAACACTAGAGGGCGATATTCTCAAAACTAGAGGGCACTACACTGACACAGCAGCATGGTAGGCCGAAGAGGCTAACTATATAGAAGGAAGTACAAAGGTCATCAGATGAATTACAACACTAGAGGGCTAAGTACAACACTAGAGGGCAATATTCTCAAAACTAGAGGGCACTACACTGACATAGCAGCATGGTAGGCTGAAGGGACTAACTTTCGAAGGGAGTACAAAGGTCATCAGATGAATTACAACACTAGATGGCCCTTAGTACAACACTAGAGGGCGATATTCTCAAAACTTCTGACAGAGCAATATGATAGGAAATAGATGGTAACTACCAGTATTGAGAGGGGTACAAAAGTCAGAGGAATTACAGCACTAGGGGGTACTACATTCAATACAAGAGGACGTTATATTCAACATATTTAGGACTACAACAAAGCACTATTTCTATAGTATGTCACTAGATGGCGCTGTATGACAAATAATTACCTGTGCACCAATTTGAACCATTTCATAGGCACCTCCTTCAGCGCCACCCACAGGCCGACCCTCATCACCATTTTCCACAGTTGCCCTGGGAACCTTGTACTCTGTATCATCTTCGGGTGTTGCAGCTGGAGCCGAGAGAACTTTAGTTTTGTGTTTGTCCAATTCATTCTCATTGTTCGGAATTGTGACATTATAAACTCTTGCTAAACTACTTTTCTGTTCCGGTGTTGAGGGCGCTTTTGGTGATGGTGAATGAGAATCATCATAACTGTCAGAATCTCTAGTTAAAAAAAGAGAACAGATTCTAAATGAGAATATAATACATTTTTTTCCTTGGAAGAGGACATATAATTAACATACAGTAGATTACTTTTATTTTCACTGGGTTCAAATAACTTTTGACAACATGACAGGGCAGGACAGCAAATGACAATTCAACTATTCAGGTGAGGCCAGAGCTATGAAGCCTGGTTGACCACTATCCCTATCAGTTTGAGAATAATTCTTGACCAATGGCTGTGGTTTTTTCATTGAGTCTGTGGCACACTTTCCCAGGATGCAGTTCTTTTGTTTCTGTGTTCAATCCAAGGTGACAGGTATGCTACTGACAAAGAAGTTTTGAGGTGAATACTTTTCAACAATTTTGATCAAAACTTGTAGCCAATGGGAAATTGTGTCCATTTGGTCCAAAATTAATGAAGAAATTGTAAAAAAAACAACATGAAAATGTGCAAAATGTTGTGCAAAAAAAAATTACAAGTATTGGACTCACCTTGAAGGCCTTCCTACATTATACGAGCCATTACTGGCGGCCTGTGCTAACTGATCCATGATATCGTTCAATTGATTTTTTGCTTTTGATAATTCACCATGGAAAGTAGATTCCGCTGAAAATGCTATCTGGAATGTATTCGCATACAGAGGTATCCGACTGTGAAGTAAACACAGAGAACTTATTGAAAAATTGCAATTTGGAAATACAGAGAACTTATTGAAAAATTGCAATTTGGAAATACAGAGAACTTATTGAAAAATTGCAATTTGGAAACACAGAGAACTTATTGAAAAATTGCAATTTGGAAACACAGAGAACTTATTGAAAAATTGCAATTTGGAAACACAGAGAACTTATTGAAAAATTACAATTTGGAAACACAGAGAACTTATTGAAAAATTGCAATTTGGAAACACAGAGAACTGATTGAAAAATTGCAATTTGGAAACACAGAGAACTTATTGAAAAATTGCAATTTGGAAACACAGAGAACTTATTGAAAAATTGCAATTTGGAAACACAGAGAACTTATTGAAAAATTGCAATTTGGAAACACAGAGAACTTATTGAAAAATTGCAATTTGGAAACACAGGTGACATGGATGTCGTAGGACAACTTCACCTGACCTCGGACATCACATAAACAAACATAAATAGATGTTTTTCAGTCATTCAAAGCGGGGGAGTCGTCACCTGCGCATGCGTCAGATGGCCATAGCGTGTCATTGTTTACATACAAGTGTCTACCCAAGAGCCTTTGCGTTTTAACGTGTGTTGTTATCGTCGGTTGGGACTCAATTCCTGTGCGTGCGCACGTGACGACCCTCTCGCTTTAAGATGCGTGTGCTTTTTTTTCTTCTTTTTTTTGTCTTATGTTTGTCGAAATGAAATAAAAATTACTTTCTATATAATAAAAAAAAATGATGTGTGTGATTTGGTCAATTCACACATCTTGTTTCATATTATCGGTACTTATTACATATTATCAATTTAATTTCATGAGAAACAAGATTTCACAATTGATATTGGATATTTCCCTGGGGTTCTTTGAAATTCAAGTTTCCATGACTTTTGCAAAATTTTGTCTTTACAAATGCCACAGAATCAAGAAATCACCAAAAAAATGTTTGACAGTCTGATTTCACAGGTGACCATCTCATATTTTCACTTTTCACATTCCAGAATAGAAATGTAACATTATTTTAATGCTAGAAAATGGCAGGTACACAAAAATATGTTATTGTCTATTTATAATGTACACTACAGTCCGGCATAAATTAGTACAACACGAGAGGGCGGTATTCTCAATATTGAAGAATATAACAGAAAATGCAGCAAAATTTGGGCGAGAAAGTCTGGTGGTGAAAAGGCTAACAGTACATACCTGTCGTATAGTGATGGTAATTCTTCTAATAATTCATTATTTAAATCATCATACAATTTCTTGGCCTCTGTAAAACTTTCTTGCGCCTAAAAAAAAAAAAAACCATTGGTCAGATAATGCAGTATAGGACAAAAATACAATTTATTCTGTGTTTTTTGTCAAAAAAATCTGATCCAAAATTAGCTAGGAAAAACGAATACAAACTAGGCGTAATAAAAATGCGAAAAATGATGGTGAAAAAAAAATGTAGGCACTTGGTCTAAGACACAAAAATTGATACTGAAAATATTATGCAAATCAGCTAATTAATATGCAATGGCATTTTAAGAAATAACAAGGTTGGTTTCTTCTGACAACTACTTGCATACAAGGCCACATTTGACAAACAATAACCCAAAGTAAATGTATCATATATTTTAAGTTTTATATACTTAAGTTACCTCTTTTTCATCACAAATTCACAAAATAGTCCTGTTCATAGTCTGCACTTTCCTTCAGAAGATTGAGACAAAAATTTGTTGAATAAAAATTGAAAATAGACTAAAATTTTGTCTGTTGGCTCAAAAATTAAGGTTCATTTCCAGATTATTGAAAAATATTAGAAACAAGTCATTGAAAATGACACAGACCCCATTAAGTTCTCTTTGTGCTCGTCATATTGTCGAGAGCATGTCCTTGAAACTTGAGTTCCAAATGACGTATACAACAGATTGTTTATTTACATCAAAACATGTGTTTCGTGTAATATGGCCAAAATAAAAACAGCCGTTATTCAGCCATCTTTGATCTGATTATGAAACACACTGATATGTATGATGTATGTGCCAAATTTGAATGAAAACTGACAGAGCACGTCCAAGATACCGCATAAAAAAACAAGAACAAGATGCCTGCCAGTCGACCATCTTTGATCCAATTGCGAAATAAATCGTCATGGACATGTATCCTAACATGTATAAACTATGTACCAAGTTTGAATGACAACTGACAAAGCATGTCCAAAATACAACATTATCAAAAAACAAGATGGCTGCCAGTCGGCCATTTAGAATTGAATCGCTAAACCACTGCATGTGCATGTCCCACATAAAGTACTAGGCACATGCAAAGAATGAACGGAATCGGTCCAAGGGATTCTGAGATATGACTCCAGACGGACGCACGGACGCACAGATGCACTGAGACCGAATTATAAGTCCCCGTTTTCGGACTTCGACCGAACGGGGGCTAAAAAGTGCAGACAAATGTTAAAAGTCAACAAACTCAGGTATTTGACAGTGGACTTTTGGGCAAACATTACCATATTTTATGGGTAATAACCAATTAGCATAGCACAAAAGTCGGAGAGAGAAAGAAAACTAGTTAGTAGAAATTATTTTTTTATTTGAAAAAGTTCAAAAATTTAAAATATTTTGCACCAAAATCTTTGCAAATACAAAACATGAAATACCAGTTGTTGTGATCATGCACTACCTTCATGGTTTTAGCCTCGTCTTTTTTCTTCGTACTCTGACAAGCGTTCACAGCGTGCCTCGCACTGTCATAATCTACTAGTTTTCTACCTCGTTTTGATACTTTTCCCTAAAAAAAAAAAGATAAAAAAAAATATAAAAAGTTGTGACAGAATTGCGTTTATGACGAATTGAGAACCAATCTGTTGAACTTCAGAGGTAAATCAGAAATTAGCTATTTGGATTGCTTACGTATTGAGAGAGGTCAATTATGGGAAAAGATACGACTCTACTTTGGAGATCCCAAAAATATCAAAAGTTGTGTTATATATTGTGTTCATGAATGAATGGGAATAAATCCGTTGATCTTAAAGTGAAAGTCAAGGCTAACAACATAATACTCCTCGATGGAAGAGCTCAGCAAATGTAAGAACATGCAATTTACTACCCCAGACCATTCGTCCCGGTGTTATCGCTATCGCCACACGAGACTCCAGCTTGTCTCCTATACAATTTGACTGCGCACATCCAGAAAGTAGATGTAGCTGTGATTGGTGGAATACTAATGAGTTGAGTGTCAATCAAACGCCCACGCTATCTTTAGTAAACAAAGTCACGTGACACACGCCATTTTAGTTTTGATTAGTTCATCGGATCGGAGTGTCGGTGCTCGCCATCCATAAATCAAATCAAAATGATTTCTAATTGGAAATGGCATATTTTCATCAAACTCCTTTTCAACATCATGGTTGTTAATGTCCGTCACGTCGCTAAGTACATATGAACTGCGGTCATCATTGCAAATTGAATGTGAGAAAGTTATGGAACGTCGTTTTGAACTTGAACGTGGTCGGGCAGGTTATCCCTCCTGCTTTTCCTGGCTTGAATAAATTCACACATGACTTTAACTGTCCACAAACTCGAAGACTACACGAACACAGTCTACAATAGTCGTCCGCAACAATATGTATGTATTTCTTCGGTGTACTGATGCACGAATGCACCGTGACACGGTGTTTCTCGGGTGTCGCCATCGCTGAGAATGCCGCCGGCGCAATTTTTCACCCAACTCGCGATTCTGTTTTGCAACATTTTATCAATATTCCCTTTGACAAAATCGCCGACAAAAGCACCGCTTTGCTGATCTTTTGTTCTATAATTCTTAATGCAAACACCGACCCTAGTAGTAATTAGTAACGTCGCCTAGTACATATGAACGGTCGTCATTGCAAATCGAACATCTTTTTGAAAATTTGGACGTCGGGCAGGCGATTTCAAGGCACCGCACTTAAATATTAGCAACATATTTTTCTGAGCGGTTGTTTATTCTCTTTCAAACGAGACATAAATGTGACGACATAGTCGATCCCTTATCCACCGCTAAGAATGCCGCAATGTTTCGTTCGTTTTGCAACATGCCACAAATCGTCGAAAAAAACACCACTTCGACGGAAGCTTGCGTAATAAGGGGGTTAAAACAAGAAAACAAATGCCATGTTTAATACATATCGACCTGTTTTACTTGCGAAAGATAACGGAACATGAACTCGTTTCGTGCGACTTCGGAACCCGAAGGAACACACCAACAACGTTGAATTTACCCGCTATCTTCCAAATATGGTATATTAATTTATTCAGTTGTTTATTTAGAGTGACGTCCGCGGTCGAATGCGATTGGCTATCGATGTCAGTGCAAAGGTCATATGAATATTAAAATTAAGTGGGCGGAAGGAAAATTGTATAGGAGACAAGCTGGAGTCTCGTGTGGCGATAGCGATAACACCGGGACGAATGGTCTGGGGTAGCAATTTACAGTTTTTTTATATCACTTCTCATTCTCTAGATATTCAATTTTTCATCAATTTTTGTATACCGCCATCTTGATTCTTCAGCAAAGGATTGTGGGTAAAATTAGAAGTTATAGATGAAATCATTTTCTTAATTTCTGACAACAGATTCTATGATGTCATACTTTACCCATAATCTTTTGCTTGAGAATCAAGATGGCTGACTACATAATACTGATGAAAAGTTGAATATCTAGAGAATGAAAAGTGATATAAAAACACTGTAAATTGCATTCTCCTACATTTGCGAAGCTTTTTCTTGGGGGGGTCATTGTATTGTTTGGCTTGACTTCCCCTTCAATAGTGAGTTATAAGTTAGCTGTTTACATATCTAGCAAAGCTATTTCAGGGAAAAATTACGACTCTACTTTGGAGATTTGCAAATATTTACAGTTCTAAGGTACGAGTTTTTCAACCCAGAACACTTATTTTTGCAACTCGATTAGCAAAAGTTTAATCACATTGCTGATATTCCACATAAGTTGCATTGATATAAAACAACGTTTCTTGATTACAAGATTTCAATAATTTATGGCATAATATCTCTGCCATTAGAACCTATTGTAAAAATATTATAATACTGATAAAATAGCCACTATCCAATTAAATACAACGTTTAATTTCTCAAAAATGATTCTGGTGACCACCAATTTTTTTAAGTCAATATCCTTATATTTCTCTGAAGTACAATTTATTACAAAATTAATAAATCCTTGGCATGTTCATTTATGAGTAGGCTTCTACATTAAATACACCAACAGCTGCCACAAAAAACATTTGAAAAAGCATCCTTTTTATTACGCTGTTCCCAAGTAAGGAGCGATCTACCCCTGATGTAAAGAATAGCAGTTCAGTTGACATTTTTAAAAAGAAGTTGAAAACCTATCTTTTCAAGCAGACTTATTGTCATTAAGAACTTTTTATGTGTTTTGTTGAGTATCTTAAGAGCATTTTTATTTTGTGTGGATACACAATGCTATTCAAACAGGCTTATTGTCACTGAGAACTTTTTATGCGTTTTGTTTGAGTACCTTAAGAGCATTTTTATTTTGTGCGAATACACAGCGCTATACTAACGTCTACTATTATTCAGCCTATGTCAATATAGTAGTATTATTATATACCCACTTATCTACAATGGCTGTAAAGTAGGTAGGTCATTTCTATGACAATACATTGGACAAACAAAAGATATGACTCAAATGAACACTTGGGGGCTAGCCTGAGACACAGAGGGCAATATAACCACCTGGATTAGTTGTACATACTTTCATATCTTGAAATTGATCCAAATGAACACTAGGGGGCCCAGCCTGAGTCATAGAGGGCAGTATTACCACCTGGATTAGTAGTACATACTTTCATATCTTGAAATTGACCCAAATGAACACTAGGGGGCCCAGCCTGAGACATAGAGGGCAGTATTACCACCTGGATTAGTTGTACATACTTTCATATCTTGAAATTGACCCAAATGAACACTAGGGGGCCATCCTGAGACACAGAGGGCAGTATTACCACCTGGATTAGTTGTACATACTTTCATGTCTTGAAATTGACTCTGGTAAATAGAGATGGGTTTATGAACTTGTTCCGACAGTCGATGCTGGTAGTCATCCCATAATAGTTCACACGTCTGAAAAAATAACAAATCTCAGTAGTAGATTAACTGCAAATACTGATAAATATAATCTACTAAATTAAATATATATCAGCATGAAAAAAATAACAATAGAACTCATTGTTTCACTGGCATTTTCATGAGCTTAAGGTAGAAGCCAACTCATAAATTAAAATACCCAGAATTTATTTATTTTGCAATAAACTGTACTCCAAGGCAATATAAGGATATTGACTTAAAAAAAGTTGGAGGTCACCAGCCTTATTTTTGAGAAATTGATGGTTGTATTTTAGTGGAAAATCACCATTTTGGCACTTTTACCACAGGTTTCTATGGCAGAGTTATTATGCTATATCTCAAAATCTAGCCTGGTGACATGGGCTAAAAAATTTATATACTGTTAATGATGGAGTACTTTTTGTTGTTCTGAATTATTTTAAAAAATCTGGGTTCTAAAAAGTGTCAAAAAAATGCAATTTTTTTTCAACCTTGTGTTCTATGGAATTGTTCTAAAAATAAAAATTTTCAAGAAATATTAGAACACGTTTCCCAAATAGCTCAACTGTAACACACAAAATAATGCTATTTCATTGTACCATGAGACATTAGCTTCATGATCGTACATAATAAACTAATGAACATTATCATGCAATTAATGACCAATTTTGTCAAAAATTATGACTGGGCTACTACCTTTATACCCAGTGAATATGCTCATACATCAAAATTACTGTAGAATACTTTATTTTCGCTTGGAATTTATTTTCACTATTTTCGCTGAAGGGATGATTCCGTGAAAATAAAATCCAGTGAATATACTTTTTTTCCTGTATTTCACATTAAACTAATCAAAAATCAGTGAAAATAAATTCCATACAAAACGCCCAAAAAGCCTTTTCAGCGAAAATTAATTCCAGCGAAAATAAAGTATTCCACAGTAAGTGTCAGTGAAAATAAATGTTTTTTTTAAGTACTGTATTTAATTTTTCGCTATTTTCGCTGAAGTCAGTGAAAATATAATCCAGAGAATATATCTTTTTTTTTCTACGTTTTACATTAAAGTCATCAAACATTAGTGAAAGTAACATCCATACAGAACACCCAAAAAGTCTTTTTTTAAGCAAAAATTAATTCCAGCAAAAATGAAGTATTTCAGAGTACGTCTTAAAAAAAGATAAGATTTCGTTTTTAAATTATTGAAAATTGAAAAATTATACGGTTTATCATTTTTTTTATACAACCTTTAACATTTATTAAATAATACAAATTCACAAAATAGTCTGCACTTTCCTTTAAAAGATTAGGACAAAATTTTGTCTGTTAGGGTTTATTTCCAGAAATATTGAAGAATGAGAAAAAAGTTCTATAAAATTTGGGCGAGAAAGTCTGGTGGTTTAAGGCTAATTTGGATTGACAAAACATTCTTCAAGGCACTTTCCATTCTACCGTATATTAGCACACTCTACTGAAATTTGAAATTGTATAAACGATTTGAATTCAGATTTCAAACTCACAAGCACAATGACAATCAAAGAAAGCTTAGAAAGAACTCTCGTGTGCTGAGAGTATTGAAGACATTAAAAATTAATACCAAAGTTACTTGTACTTAAGATATTGATGGAAGAACTAATTATGCAAATCAGGTAATTAATATGAACAGATTCTAGTGTAAAACTAATAAGGTCTGCGCAATGTGCACAACAGACTATCCATGTACCAAGTTTCATTGAAATTGATCAATTGATTTAATTATGCAAATTAAGTAATTAATATCCACGGCTTTTTATCAAAAACTCATCAAATCTGCGCATTAATTCAGAGCATCTATTTACCAAGTTTCATCAAAATCCAATGACTGGTTCTTTGGATATCCGTGGAACAGTCATGGAACAGCTGAAAATTAGCTAATTATCACGCAAATTAGATAATTATTATGCATGGATTTTTACCAAAACCTAATCAAATCTGCGCATTGGTCCAGAACATCTATGCACTAAGTTTCATCAAAAAACGATGTATGGTTCTTGAGATATCAGTGGAACAGACGGGCACACTGCAAACTGCAAAGACTCCCATTGTCAAAAACAAAACATTTTGTTGCCCTAATAGCACTTATTATTCACAAAACTGATTCACTGTAAACTATATGTCCATATATAGCAGCTATTTTGCATATCAATGTTTGCATATAAAGCATATATTTACATATCTATCATGGCTAATTTGTAATTTGAACATTGTGAATCACCAGTTTTTAAAAAAAAAAAAACAGATCGTGAAAAAATGTCAATATTCAGAAATTTGAGAAAAAATACCATACTTCTGTAGGACACGGCATTATATTGTTGTTTTTTTCCAGCTGGGCATTTAGTCGGATGCGTATGGATGTTGTATTGTAAAATTATTAAAAACAAACCTCAGCAAGGTCATTTAGTTGATTGTAGCCTTCCCAGTCTTCTTCATAGACATCCCGGAGTGTTTCATAAAAACTTTTGCTGGCAGCACTCATTGCTGAAATAAAGTACATCAAATCCAGTCAAAACTGGTTTAATCCAGTGTAAACTGGTCATCTGTCAAAACTGGTTTCATTCTGTGTAAACTGGAAATCTGTCAAAACCGGTTTAATCCAGTGTAAACTGGTCATCTGTCAAAACCGGTGGTGAACAGGTTAATTTAAGTGGTGTACTACTGTACAAGAAAGAACAAGCATACATTGACTTCAGAATGGAAATACGAAAACGATCAGAGACAAATAAACTAAAACTGACGAGATTTCACATTAATTACAGATTGCTACAATCTGATAACACCAAAATATTTGCTGTGAGTATCAGTGATTATTATACATCTGTCATCTTAACGCCATAAGTTACAGCGTGTCGTAATTTTGCGGTATTTTACAGGGTATTTTCATCCTACCATATTAGGAAATGCGAATTCCAAACATAGAATGATTACGCACGTAAGAGACCTCTAATACTAAAAACAAACATGGCTGCCACCAGAGTTTGACCGGACTCCATACAAAGAAGTTCGCTGATTCTGTTCTAAACTTTTTGGATTTCGGCATTCCCATGATATATCCTTGTAGGAAAAGATGTATAATACGAGCCATTGCTATGGTTACCAACCTTTGACACACTGGATATACTGCTTGACTTCTCGTTGTAGTTTACCGGCTGCCGCTTGTTGTTTGTTGAAATTCTGGACATACTCATCGAATATTTGGTCTTTTGTTTCATCAGCCTTCCCTAATGATCGGAGCATCTATGAAGAAAACAAGAGGTAAGTATAGTAAGTAAACCGGTCACTGGTAGCATAGTGGTTGTTGCATCAGACTCATGATCGGTAGACCCAAGTTCAAATCCTATCTTAGGCTGAACATCAAAGGGTCAACCCCTACCCTGGGTGAGTGTGCAACAGACTCAATGGGAAGGCCGATTCCATTGGTCGAGACTTGTTCACTAACAAATGCGACTTTAGGGGAACCTTGGTTAAGGTCCGCAGGTGCTTGTGTTCGACTGAGCCTGGTTGACGCCAAGACAACGCATTAAATTGATGTCGTGTAGTCCCAAACAGGAAATGACTTCTGTGGCAAAAATGCACTATGTGTCAGCACTAGCACTTGCAATTTGCACATACAAAAAAAAAGTCAGGAGAGACAACAGTGACATTCAATGTCCAGAACTGTCGCCTGGCACAAAAAATATATTTAAAAAAAAAAGAAAAAGTATGGCATATTGTAAGCTCTGTATCAGAAACAGTGACCAGGGATTTTTTTAAACAAGAGATCAGGGGGGCAGCGCCCTCATGCCATGGCCATGCGCCCCCTTACCCTGGGGAGCATATCCTCTGGCAACCATAAAATTCGGATTGACCAGCAGGGATCACATGTGGCCTGAGTCTTCAACTGTGACCTGTCTGATAGTAATTTTTGGCCCCAAGGAAGCCATAGAATGCGCCATTTTAACTCAGAATTATCAAAAACTCCACACCCTGGTAGAGAGAACCCTATCTCCCCCACTTGGTGGCGCCGTTGAATTGCAGTGCTCCCTCTTGCAGTTGTTTTCTAGAAAAATCCCCGAGTGACTTCTATTAAAATGGCACAATACAACAGTGAGAATGTGGCTTGAGCATACACAGAAATGGGGAACATTTGTGGTTCTTAATTTTCGTAAAAGAATGTGAGCGGCTTCTATTAAAGCGGCTTCTAATACAGATATTACGGTGATAAAACAATTGAGTGGTAGATTAAGATTTCTTTCCCTGATGTGACAATTATACATTACTGAGGCAACGTCACATCACAAAAACAAATCATCGTATACAATTCTTTTGTCATCTTGAATTTGGTAAATTCTTGTGATGATTTATATGTCCGAAGTGAGTTACAAGACATTAATCCTCTTTTGTCTGATGGCAAATATCTACCATATCTATCTACCAAGTCTGTCACACCTGCAACAGGTTGTATGACCAACTTTTGTACCAGCCTTTGCCTGACATAGGATAACCTGATTGGCTACAAGCTATCCAATTATTGACAATAATGATACTCACAGCTACATACACACAGAGACGCCTGTAGTAAGTAAGCA